AAACCTGCTTTAACTCAATTTAATCTGCCTAAATCCATTAATCTTATATTTATGGATTTAAAAAATAAACTCTCTCTCTTAACAATTAAGTTGGTTGTAGCTTGGTGGTTATTGTAGTTATTATTTACATAAGTGGTGAAGGTTAAAATCACATTACATGCATGTTATTTTTACACAAGCGGCGAAGCCATTTGATTATATTCGGATTTCGGGTTTGACCGAACCACTTAGGTTCAAACTAGTCAGATCAACTTAAACCGCTTAGGTTTATGGGTGATTAAACCGTTTAGATCTGGATCAATTTGGACGGACCAGATCAGACCGGTTCAGTCAATGGTGGATTGACTTGGACCGGACCATATCAGGTTTGTGCATTGGTTCGGGACCGGATTGGTTGACCCAAACTGGGTCAATGTATCTAAATCGGGTCAGTCCATATTTGGGTCGAGTCATGTGGCTATTTGTCGGATGGACGGTATAGATTGGGCAAAGCACGTGGAGGTCGAATCATCCCGCCCAAAACCATTTCGGATTCGGATCGACTTGTACTGGGTCGGGTTGGAGTGCGTGAATATTGGTTGGACTGGACGACCCAAATCGAACAGAGCAAGCAACAGTGAACCATCCCGCCCGAGGTCTATTTCGGATTCAGGTCGATCCGGATCAATATATATTGGATCGGGTCAAACCACGTTGAATTGGTCTAGACTCGGGTCAAATTGATTTGGATTTGTATTGGGTGAAGTGTATTGATCGAAGACAAAACTAAATTTAGTCAATTATTAATAGAAAATTAATGCATTAATTATAAATTATTTAATTCAAATGAAGAAAATACAAAAAAAAATGCTAAGGAATTAATACTTATTTCTAGTTAACCCAATGGTTATCCACAACCCAACCCATTTAAATGGGTGGTTTGGGTTAAAAATTACCACCCCTACATGTTATTGGGACAAGGGTGGATTGAATTGAGTTGAGCTGAGGCTATATTTATTCAGATTATAAAAGTGGACCTGGCATATTGCACTTGATTCTAAGGTTTGAAATTTTAATATGTATCGGGCCGTATCCAGGAGGTGTTTCAAGATTTCGGTTCAGGGGGTGGATGGACCTTAAACTGGCCCCTCTGAAACAGATTAGAAAAAAAAAAAGAAACTATCGATATGCCTTAACCAATGTTTTGAGCATATACTGCATATCGATATTTTGAACCTTGCTTGATTCACTTTTTCCTTTGTTTTGCAAAAATGTTTACAGTAAAATTTAGGATAAATTACAAACAGCCCCTTGTACTTGGGGGCTAGTGACTTGGTTTTGCAATACAGACCTCACTGAACTTTTGAGTATCAGCACTTAATACCGCCATTAACATTCTGTCAATTAATTTCATGAAATGTTATTTTGAACATTTCTAAAACCTCATATTACCTTTATGCTGTGTGATTGTTGTATTTTTGAAAAACGTGATGCAATCAGTGAAAAGTTTTACATCGATTTTATTGATATAGATACTATATCAATAATCAATGTAAAGCTTTACATATGATAAGGTTTTACACTAATTCACAATGTTAAATTTTACTCCATTCAAACGCACACAAAACTGAATCAGAGTGGAGTTTTATGTCGATCATTATTACACTCTTTCCAAATGCAAACAAAACCGAACCGATGTAAATGTTTACATCGTTCCGATTCCAAATATAGTCTTTATGTTATTTTGTGAGACTATTCTGTTTTTTAACATATCTTTTCTAAAATCCTCTCACATGCTTCTCTCAACTTTCTTTCAACAAAGTTCATATAATTTTGAATGAACAATTTAATAATTTTACATTCACTATTAGTCCTATTAACAAGTTGGGGGCAAAGTGATGGAATTTGAAAGTTTGGAAGGGCTAAAGTGTTACCAACCCCTAACAAGTGAGTGACTATTTGTAATTTACCTTAAAATTTATGTTAGTACCACAACATTTGTATCCCTGTCTTGTCTAAAATTTGTATCCAACTAGAATATATTACCCAGTGGACAAGAAATTTTCCCAACAGTTGTTTTAGTATGGAATTAAAATTTCCTAGAATATTCTGTTCAAGAAAGAATATCTTAGGAAACAAGTACTTGAAATTTTTAGAAGCTCTTTTCTAAAATGAATAGAATTTGGTGTTCCTCTTATTGAAAAGGACACATTGAACTAAAAGGTAAACCCCCCACCCCCAATTGTATCAACGAGAATGTTGGTAGTGAGAAGCTTTATTTTTCAAATTGCTCCCAAACATGGAAATAATTTCTTTTCATATGCAACAATAGAATTCAAAAAACTTTTATGATAGTTACTTTGGTTTTGATGTTGGTCATAAAAATTAAATTTGATTTTATAATATCAAATTATATATTTACCTTTACTTGCATGCGCACATAATACATGCCCTTTACACTATTATCAACTGGAGCCAAAAAAGTTTTAAATAGAAATAGATGAAACCTGGAAACAGATGATAGAAATAGGGTAATGGGGCATGTGTAAATATGACATGATATGATATGGTATGTGTAAATATGACATGAATAGGGTATTGACCTTATTATTATCGGGTAAGGGAACCGCTCACATCAGTGGAAGCTCAGATCTCCTATAAGTTCTCTGCGCATAGCATTCAACGGCATATTGAAAATATCTCCTATAAATGCATGTTAAATTAATAAGGAAATATTCTCAATGTGCAGTTAGATGCCCATACTTGCAAAGTGTATGTGAAGTTTTTGCTGCAAGAGATATCATCGCCATCAATAGGCTTGTACTTTGTCCAGGACTCCCAGTTGCAGGGTTGGATGATAGTAATAAATGGAACCAACCAAATCAACCACTTACTAAAGATGAGATGAAGCACCAGTAGGCAGCAACTGTGTAGAGAAATTGGTGGTGAAAGAGGCTGAGATTTGAGACAATATTAAAGTTGCTAATTGTTGAAAAACAAAAAGGTGGGCCAGTCAGTGGCTCACCGAATTTGCAATTGGTGGCCCATCGAACTGAGCCCATCATTTATTCAGTGATACACCAATTAATCGGTGGCACATCATTTGCAAACCACCGGTTATGGTTTGCTTAACTATGAAGAAAATTTTCATAAAAGCCCATTATACCCCTCAGCTCAAGTATAAATAGGAATCCCTTTTATGTTATTTCTCATTTCATTTCAGCGTATAGTGTATACAGTGTGTTGAGAGGAGTATTGAGTGCTGAGTACGGGTGTAATTCTGGTGAGATTATTTTGTATTATCCTGTTTATAATAAGAAGGAAGCTCTGATTTGCTGCCTATAGACATAGATAATTTGGCCAAACCACTTCTGTGCACGTACAAATTACGTTATTTCCGCTATACAATTCCAACACAAACCCTAAAATTGATTGGACTTCTTCCCTTGGCTGCGCCCAAGAAAAGTAATGTCGGATGCTATAATTTTTTATTTATACATTCAAAAACCTGTCTGAGAACGTCTTCACTGTCTTCACTTCACCCGGAAATGGAATGCCATCATCTACGTTCATTAACAACTAAAAAACTTTTTACAGACTCAAATTCTTTTCGACTCTGCTCCTCATAAAGACAATGCTTTTCAAACCTAGGCGCTTCAGCTCTTTTCTGAAACCTAGAAGCTGCAAACTAAAACCGACGAGTTCACACTCAAAACTACATATGGAAAGCAAAGCAGATAAATGCGTATAAGGGGATTTGAGGAGCCTGAACTGAAGCACCGGAATGAAATATGACAACATCATTCAGTCTGGTGGAATCTGTTCACATCAAGATTGAAATCCAAAAATAAATACGTTTTTGGTATTGTGCTTATTTACAGTTAAACATCAGATATTTATTTACTTGGTATGGTCAATGTTTGGCAAGGTAGTTGAGAAAATTTGGGCAACTAATCCTACCTTGTGTGACTGACACTTGTCCCTCTATCCAAGATGCTGAAAAAGTCCAAATGGTTGGTAAAATCTTGCATAAGAAGGGCCATCCCTTCCAACAGCAATATTTTTGTACCGTTGAGAGTTAGAGGTCTCATTATAAATATGGTCCTTTAGTCTACCAATTATATATACTGAAATTTTCTGAGAAATCCTCACTTGGACGCTGCCTCCTTGGTTCATATTCACGCCTTCACTGTCTTCACTTCACCAGTGATGCCTCCTTGCTATTGCAGGATTTATCAGGTACATTGGCTGAAAGAGCTCTCTTTATCTGGACGGTCTTGGGTTCTTTGAGTTTCAGAATCGTGAAGGTCTGTTGTAAACTGTTTTAGGGAGTTTGCGGAGACGAAGATTCATTATGTTCAGATGATCACTGTGAGCGTACAGGCATCACTGGTTCCTACGAAGCAAGTCCAAGCTTACATACGAGGACGGGGATTGAATTAATGATTTTAGATTTCAATGAAACTCAAAAGTTAATCTAAAATTTTGAGATCTCGGCTATTTATTTCACTAGAGATTTCCTAATTTTACATTTTTTTGGCTTCATAAAACATTATAAAATATTAATAATGCAATGGAAATTTAAGTAAAGAAACCATCCAAAATTCCAAATTTTTTGAAAAAACAATTCCATCATAGACCAAGAGTATGAAATGGACGAAGCTTCTGAAATTTAAAATCTTGTTTCAATGCAAGAATATACCAAAAAAAGGTGCAATGTCAGAGGAATTTACCTGGATGAATTCCAAAGTTGAACCTATTTATTCGATGTTATTATTTTTAGATGCAGGATTTATTTAACCAGTTAAAATGGAAATCCAGAGACACCTCTTGTGAAATCATGGAACTTCCGAAATTCCATCTTTACCATGATTCCTAATAATTTGGGATACCCTGGGACAGAAAACTCTAAAAGTGCTCATTCAGAAGACAGTAAAGCCAGTTCAATTCCTAGCTCTCCCCAATGTATAAGGATCCTCATCTGGGATGCCTCTCAGGCAAAATACTAAAACCTGACCATATGATCCTTCCCATCCACTCTTTTATTATTTGGGCAGATAGAAGAAAAAAAATATATGACAAATGGCAATGAAAACGTTGAAACATCAGGAGAAAGAAAATGCCAAACGATTCTTAAACTGGAATCTGCTGCTAATTCTGTCATTATGTTTTTGCATATAAAGCTACAATTATGGAAAGTCCAGGCAACCCCAAACATGAAAACTGAACAGGCTTAGGATCAGACTCTGAGGAACCTAATCCTCGGGAAAAGCTAAAGCAAGTATCCCATTAGGTCAGTCCATATGCTCCTCTACACCTTGGCTGTTTGGAAATAATTGCTCCCTCCTTTTGGGGAAGCCTGCTGTTTCTAGATTTGGGCCTCTATATTTCAACTCCGCAGCTCTGTAATTGGGATCATTGGAACTGGTTCCGAAGTTGGGATCCACTGAAGTTGACCTAAAAGGAAGGGACGCTCCACCAGGAAACCGGGAAGGAGAGACATACCTGCTTGGCTGTCTGAGAGGACGTCCTCTCATGTCCATAATATCTGCACTCCTTGAAGAAGAATCTCCAAAGGGTCTTTCCCCTGAGCCAGTTCCCAACGAAGTTCCCATTGAGGCTGATGTGGAGCTGAAAGGATCATCTGGTCCCCATGAGGTAAGCGATTCCTTCTTCTTTCCAAAGAACTGCCATGCCCCAAATAGGAACACGATGAAGAGTAGAACTGGACTGGTCCAGAGCATTGTATTGAATTCTGGTTTGAAAATCGGAAGGTTGGAACGGTACATCCCCACATAGCCACTTCCAAGGCCAAGAACAACAAGCTTTTCACGGTCACTGGTAATTACGGGCATCATTGTTCTAGCTTCAGAGCCATCATCCATCCCATTAGGATTCAGAAATGAAAACCTAATTTCATCAAGACTGGCAAAGAAAAGTGGCCTGGGGCCACCAGCCCTAATGTAATGGTGAGAAGAAACATTATACACAAAAACCTTCTCTTGACTAACTATAAGCAGATACCCCTTAATCACCTGGACCATGAGAGGACCATCAATCTCAAGTTTCCTTTTAGATCTCACCCTGCACTTGAAGTTCATCAGATCTCCCAAAAGCATCACATGAATCAGATCACCAGATGATGTAAGCCCATAAGCTTTTGAACGCTCTGATGCATCAAAAACATATTTCCTCGCATGTGAGTGGTTCATCCCTTCACATTCAGATTCCCTAACTGTCATGCTCCTCAAATCTAAAGACCCAACACCATTCTCTGTGAGAAACAGAAGCCTTTGCTTCATGAATGCCAGTGGTCGACCAACCGATTTAGCCGAACCATAAACTGTTCCATTCTCCCGCAAGATCATGATTTTACCACTAACATCAGAAGATATAATGTACCTCATTCTTCCAACTTGGTGCACTTCCAAAATTGTAACTGTCGAACCCTCTACCCCTTTATTTGATGGAGAAAATGCTCCAAAATTTGCCATGGAAAGGGAATGCCAATCTTCTGCATTTGAAGCCTCCCAAACACGATGTACTAAGACCACCCCATCTTTGTGTCCAGTCACCAAAAAACTCTCATTCTTGTTGACGGAGAGGTAAGAAAGCATAGCTGTAATGGGGAAATCTGATAACGTGTAGAATTCAACCAAGACATCTCCATTTGACAAGAAGATAAAAACCCTGCCCCGTTCATCTCCAACAGCAACATATTTGCTATAACCTTCATAATCTTCAAATGGCAATACGTTAATCGCCGTAGCTTCCGATTCAAGCTTCACCGCCGAGAGAAACTGAAACCTCTCCGACCACGACGGATTGTATTTTGTCACAGAAACCCCTCTCCCTCTGTCTCCCTCCCTTGTCTTTCCTTCAAAACCCCCATCTTCGACCTCTTTCAATACCTTGTCATCGCCTCCGTTTCCACCGTCAACCTTATCTCGATCCTGAAGACTCGGTCGCAAATCATCGATCCTATGCCGTTCCTTCTCAACAGATCCACCCTTTCGACATTCGGGCAACCACGACTCAAGTCTAGCTGCTGTTTCACTAAGGCTCTTCACTAGATTTTCAAGCTTTTCTAGTTGGGTTTGTTGTCGATCCAACTCACTTGTACTATCTTTCTGATGTTCGTGTTCAGGTTCATTTTCGTGTTCAATAGATAACGAGTTACAATTCACTAAAACCCTAAAACCAGATGGATGAGTTAAGAAAACAAAAACGAACAAAAGCACAAAAGCCTTGCCTATCTGAAGACCCGCCATTTGAAGAATCTCGATTACTAATTCTCTTTTTTCTTTCAGAACTCCGCCATTGTTGCAGGCAGCTATTCCATAGCCTCGCCGCTTCCGATCTTCCTCACCGAACACGCCTGATATATACCTTCAATACGGTGAGAATTGCAGCTGAAGTTGACGATTGTGTTGAAGTTTTAGGGTTTTGGAGAAGCCACTAATTTGGGGGTTCTGAGTTGCGATTTTTCTTTTTCTTTTTCTTTTTTTTTTTTTTTTGTGCGTGGGGAGAGGGGAACAATCTCCGGTGGAGAGGGGTGAACGGAAAAGAGGATTTTGAAATGAAAATGTAAGAAATTGAAGCCGGAGTTCTAAGTTTGACAGCTCTTCGATGATGGAAGTCAGAGGGGCGGAGATTTACGAGTATGGAGCTGTCTGATAACCGTGGTGAGACTGTGGGGGGCGTTTCTGTTATTTTGTGAATTAAGTAAGGGCATTTCTTAAAGACAGGTTAGAGTGAATTACTAACTTGTAAGTTATATTACATCGAGAAAATTCGAAGTTCTTTTCTTTGTCATAAAGTTTTCATGCACCCAGGTGTATCAGGTCATGTGGGTGGATGAAGATGATGGCTTGATTTAAGTTATTGCAAGTTTTAAACTGTTGGATTGGAACTTATCGATTAGAGGATTGATAGAGTATACACATTTTGTATACATCGTCCGGGGGGTTTTTATAATTCAGTCCTTCCCTTCCTTCCCTAGGATTTCTAGGGGTGGAGAAGGATTTGATGTCAAGTTCACGGACAGAACGGTTTATAGGGGTTGGTAGTAGAATGAAAGGGGGTTGCAATTTTAGATTTTTGAGGTGAATTGTAGTTCATTTATTCCTAGTCTTTTTTATAGGAAATACCGTGGCATTAGTTACAGCATGGAAAGAGTATAAATACAGTAAATATATGAAGTTTAGAAATACAAATATAGGGTTTTACACTAAATCTTATTATTTTGTTTTTTTAGCGGATAAAATAATTAATAATATTAATATTTAAAGGGACAACAATCTTTCAAAGGGTTTGAAGGAAGGGGAAATCCATCATTTTGATGGCTAAGTGAAATTTCAAAAAATTTCTTTTACCCTTCCAGTTTTAAAAAAACTGCATTTTTTTAGAATCGTTCTTACACTGAACTGAACCAAATTTGAAACCAAAAGAAAGGAAGAAATATACCTGATAGGGAATCCACAAGTGTAGCTCCCAAAGTGGTAGTTCACCCAAAGAGGGTAACCAAAACCAGCTTCCACTAAAGATGGCATATCTTAGGTTGAAGCCGGTTCAACAACATAGTCCTTCAACAAGAACTATAATCCAACAACATTGATCGAGCAAAGGAGGTGAGTACGAATTGGATTTGATGTTTTCTTGCAAAAATCAGATATCATAATTGATCTCTATTAGTTCAAGAACTAGAGGTCGAACTAAGGTTTCTGGGGCCGCAAGAACAGAGAGGAAGAGCTGAAAGCAAAGTTATCTAAAGCATATTGAATTCTCTATTCTTAAACCTTAAGGACTACCACTCCTAATTGAATTAGGAGGCTCTAATCCAAGTCTTTATTTGGATTTGGACTCTTTAAGTAGATAAAACTTATCCTCTTATCCCAATGGCTGATTGAGACCCAAATCCAAACCCATATTCGCCTAAGTCACATGACTGTTTAAGCTATCATGTGACTACTTGACTAATCTTATTAATAATGGGCTTTAGGCCCATTAAGCAAGTGGCTCACGACCCTAATTAGTTGCTAGCCCATTTAGCTCTCTTTGTATGGCGTAGGACCCCAACAATGACCTTACATAAGCCCATATGGGTTCAGCCCAGTTTCTGTAAAAAAGCTTGGCCGAATTTACTATCAAGTACAGTGAACCCTTGAGTCCATCAGTATAGGCTCTTAATGGGCTCAATATTTACATTAAATGATCATTGAGTCCAACAATCATATGAAGGCCCAAGGACAATTGACTTAAGTGAGATATAGCCCATCAGGTAAAACAACCCTAAAGGGTCTTTTACACTTAATCTCTCAGCCCTTAATGATCGAACACTGCTTGACAGGAAATGACCTCTCCCCTAGTTGCAAAGTGCAATGTTGCACTCTCTGCTTGGATGGGTCTCGAGAATTAAAACCTTTTGCAAACCTTTTTATTAAAAATAATATATATATATATATATATATATATATATTATCATATAAATATATTTTGCAAAATAAATCTTAAACAAATTTAAAATCAACTACCGATAGTTTTGGTTTCCATTAGAGAAAGTGCAGTCTCGATCATTCACTTTGTCCGACAAAGGGGTTGATCCTGTCATTATGATCACCAATCGGGTGAATTCTCAAATTGCCCCAACATACCCAGGTTTTGACCCCAAAAGATCTCACTAATTGGTATATCAAAGACAACCCAATTTGACACCTAGTGCAGTACCATAATCGAGTCTAGGGGTTATGTGTAACTTTCTAGTTTTGCCCACTAGTCTCCAAGGTCCAGGGCATAACTGGAAAATGGTACGAGTTTAGTGTTTCGAACAAACACACACTGCATATACTTCAGGTCCAATTCTGGCAGCTGAGACAAGCTGCCCCAACCTTCTTGGTAGCACATCAATATCAGCATTGACAAGATAAACTTCCCCAAGTCTATCCAACAAATAAGAACATTCTAAATTAACACAAGTCTCTTAAATGTCTATTTTAAGGATAATTACATAGAAACACACCAATTATAATATAAATCAATTATGTACTTTTATTTATTTACAATAAATGAATATATGCATTAATCTGATTGAAGCTAAGGGCATACGTTATCTAACAAGATTACAATAGTCTAACCTCCTTAAAACCTTACTAAATAACAAATAAACACATTCTTTATTATTCAGTTACACATTTTATTTTAGAAATATATCATTTGGCCGGTTTTGGTTCTTTGATTTTTTTATATTTATAATATATATATATATATATATATACGGCCGCTTCTATTAACTGCATTACCACTTAACATCTACACTTTTAGCTAAGATATGATGCATCCTTCCATGAATGGAAAAAAAATATATACTTATTGAAATTTTCCATCTTACCATTACTTCTCCCACCTTATCATTTCTCCTATTGTAAACCTTCCTTTTTGCACAGATTTTTATGCAAAGCGTTTTGTGGCTATTAATTTAAACTCAAAACCAGTGTTTAGAAAATCAGATCCGATCGGTCAGTTTGCATGACTCGGGGTTCTGATCGGTTTGGTCATACCCCAATAATAGGATTTGTTCAAAATCTATTAAAAATCGACTGACCAACTGGTTGAATAAAAGGAAAAAGAGAAATTTTAAAATGTTGCTAACAAAATTTAAACTCAAGATCTCTTATTTTCATAAATTATTTAATTATACCATTAAATTATTTTTTTATTTATACTAATTAATGATTATTTATTATACATATTATATTATTATGCATATATTTTAAAGAAAACGTAAGTTAAAAGGCTTGAATCCTAATCATTTGTTTTAAAAATTAAGAAACTTGCCATTCATCCACCATATTTAAATATATTAAAATTGTAAAATATATTTATATGATTCCTATATATATATATACACCACATCATCGTGATTAGACCCTGGTCGAAACTCTGACCTATAAACCTCTCCCTTCTCTGATTCTATGCCTAGTCCAATTCTCTGAATATTGCTCAAAATGAATTCAATCTAAATAGGTTGGGAACCGTTGAAAGTCAAAATGCCACTGAGGTGTTGAGGTCGCAATGAACTGTTGAAAGTCAAAATGCCACGAGGTGTTGAGGACGCAATGAACTGTTGAAAGTCAAAATGCCACATAGTGTTGAGGTTGCAGCATTTCTGCTTCCAACAGGGGGCTTTATTGGCAAGTTAAGTAGCACATTATTTTTATTGTTTTTGTTTTTATGATACATTTCTGTATGATTTTGTTTTAAGAAAATCATACAGAAAGAAAAATTAGCTGGTTTTTACTTTTATTTTAACTTCTAGAACTTTTTCCTTCACCTCGTGAATGAATGCTACGAGTCTGGATCTACTCCTTACATCAACGATTTTACAACATGTACCAGCCGTACATCAGGAACATCTCCTGTATTTATATGTTATTATTTATGAAAAATGTTTTCAATACATAGTGGGATGTGGCTGTGAAGTTGGTGCGAAAAACATTTTGTAAAGAGCAGATCCCAATTCAAATGCTATTACCATCATTCAGTCATGTTCATGTATGATATTGACAGCAATCTCTTAAAGAGAGATCCTTGAAATGGTGGATTCCAATCCTCAATGCATTACAAACGTGATAAATGAAGAGGACAAACTCCTCTAATGATAAAGGTGATGTAGTTACATCCTTGTATCCTCTCTTGACCCCCATTGGTGTTCATTTTTTTGGAAGTCCATTTACATATTTTTCAGAAATATTTCTATGTTTAAACTATTTTATCATATATTATAGATTTTCAATTTAAAAGAATTACATTGTCTTGTAATTAACAAACAACACCTGATCCAATTTTCCATGTTATTGGCTTATGTTGTATTTATAAGAGAGAAATAGAAAATAGGGGAAAGGTCTGAAAGATTTTTGCGAAATACATTAGAATTTTCCATCAACTATTTGTTTCTTGCTTATTTACCATGAACCCAAATACAGCCTTGAATTAACTCTCCTCTAGGAAATTTTGGAAAAGTACTTGAGCAGATTTGTTAGTGGGGTAGTTAAATGAACTTTCCCAAATTATTTGGGTTGCGTTTGGTTGCAATGCAAACACAAATATGTACATTACATATTTATCCATTTTTTGGTTCATGAATGCAAATACGGTTCACATTTTAAACTGTTTTTGCATTCATTCTGTGTTTGAAATTGGTGCAAAAGTGTGGGCCCATCATTAAATCCAACTATCTTATGCTCCAATGCCTCAACTTTGGTCAAAAAGTTAATTGTCGAATGAATACAAATTTGTATCCAAAAAATAGGTACAGGAATGCTCTCTTTTTAGAGTACAAAAGTGTCAGGAAATGCAATTTTGCTTTGATAATCATTACTTTTTATGTTTCAAACAAATGCTCGCAAATGCGAACCAAGGTGCATAAATACCCTGGTTCAACGTTTGTATCGCAAACAAACGCAGCCTTGGGCTCATTTTGGAAGGAGTACAAATACAAATATATAGAGTGCAAAACCTTATATTTTGTTTTATTTTGCATGTATTTGCACCTTACATATTTGTATTTGTACTTTTCGGCTGCGTTTGGAAACGATGAAAATGGAGTGTAAATCCCGGTTAAGGGTAAATTTGCACTCTGGTTCACTTTTGCTTGTGTTTGACAACATTACATATGATAGAAAACACATTTTCCAATGCATATTTACATTGATAATAAGA